TGATTGCATGCCACTGGTGATGGGGATGCCATACAGATTCATGTCAAAAATACCGAACTATCCCTTTAAGACAGAAAAAAATAAGTAAAAAATAAAAATGAATTTATAAAAAAAAAAAGGGAGTCAGGAAATTGTCTATATATCAAACTGAAAGATTGATGTTCTCTACTTCAAAAAGAGTTTAGATTTTAAAATGGAAAAACTTTCTATTTTTTATTTAAAAATTAATTGTATAACATTGATGCAAAAATGCCTGCATTTTTATTTTAGTGTTAAATTCTGCTTAAAGTAACGAATTATAATTATAAATGTCTCCGGAACTTTACTGATTGATGATTTTCTTTATTCAGACCCCGCTCATTTTTAATTGGTTACCCCTGTTATAGGTCCTCCCAACTGTGTTGTTAAGGTCACTTTCAACTTTTCAGGGAGACTAATGCTTGGTTGATGCTTAATGCCTCATAAAATAGCAGCTGGGTAAGGAGTATCATTGAGAGTTAAGAGTACCGGTATATACAATCAATCCTTATAACCCTTCATAACATTAAGTATTTTATATTCGGCCCTTCATTACAGATCTCCAGACATTCCAAGCTGCTGTGTTGTTCTAAAGCCTCCTGCTGAGCTTCATCACTTTATGTCGTTATTAACATATTTATTATGGCTGAAAAAATTTATCATGATTTATCGATTATTCAACTAATTTAGTAATTGAATAATAGTTAAATGGAGTATAGAGACTGTAAAATATGGCTTAAGCTGACAGAGCGACCGACTTAGAGCAGCATTTATATCAAATAAAAAGATTATAAAATCATTTAGCATTTAAGATTAAAACATTTTTTTCCGTGTTTCTATATGCTCTATCCAGAACTCCTTAGATAGAAACCTTTAAGTTTACCTTCATTTCATAAAAAATCTTCTTTAAAGAATGTTTGGCTAATATTAATCGATTAATTGAAAAATAATTGTCAGATTAATCGATTTGCAAAATAACTGTTAGTTGTAGCCCTAATATATGTATGATTGATTTTAGTTTCTGTTGGAAACAAAAAAAATAAAAAATCTCGATCAGACATTTGAAGCTGAGAGCCAAACAGGCAGCATGAAGGTTTTAGGGTCTTTTAAGATGTAATTAGTAATAGATTAATAGTAATAATTCCTTTATGAATTGCTTACTTGATGGAAAGGTGTCCTTCATTCTTTAGCTAAAATGAATAAAGTTATGAATCTTTCTTACTTAAAAAAGCAAAACAGTTTAAGTTCTATAAAACTCACTGATTGTTGCCTACATTTTAATTAATTTAAATAAAATTGATTTAAGGTTTTCTAAATTCTACATATATTCTTGATGTTACATGTTGTGTTAGTGTTTTTATAAAGCAGCAATAAGAGCTGAAAGTGATTAACTGTAACCTGATGAAAGCAGCTGATAAGTTCTCCTAGAAACCATGAAACAAAGAGCAAACCGTTCCGGCGCCACATGATGACAGCTCGGCTCAACCTGAAAGGCCCATTCATGGCTTCGCTTCAGACGACACACAGCTCTGCCTCCTCACATCAAACGAGCGCTGACGCCTAAAAACACCCCTCTGCTGGGTGGTAGTTCACATAAAGTCTTCTCCTGGTACTTTAGGTCAGGCGTTTCCAGTGGAAGGGTGGCTCAGACATATTAAAGGAAAGACAGCTTCCTCTCCCACTCTTATTGTTGAAGGACGCCCCTTTATGAGGTCATGTGGAGGAGTCATAGGGAGTCAGAGCAAAGAATTCAGAATGAAAGCTGAGTTTTCCATGCGTCAGAAATCAGAACCCAAAGAATTCAGCTGTTTGACCCGCTGATGGTCGGTGTTACACCCAGAGAACATTTCTCAAAGCAAACATTATGATAAGTCTTCCCTGCAGTTAGTGGATTAAAATTTGGAGGAAAACGCCTCAAACAGCTAGTTGTGCTCCTTCAACCGTTATTCAGGCGTAACTCTGATGAATGAAGCCTCAGCAGAAGAGAACACCGTGTCCATGACGGGATGCAGTTGGTCCTTCTGCCTCACAGATCCCCTCTCCAATGACTGGGGGAAATTAATAATAATTGTTTTGTATCGATGCATCGATCCAACAGACGACGATCCGATGCATCGACACGTCCGCAAGAGAATTGATTCATGTTTTTTATTTTCATCCATTTGCTCCTGGATGTAATTCTGACTCCTGTGCTGCGGTGGCGCTAAACCTATTTTGCCCTCCTACCTCGCTTCCTTTAGCCACTCCCCCTTTCTGCTTGAAAACACACTCGCTTTAATACAGAGGCATTATTATTTTTCAGTGAATGAGGTTTTCACTTTGCTACTTCTGTTATTTGCTTTTGTTTCTCAAATAAAATGCATGAAGATATTACAGATTTTATTGATTTATTTCAAATTTGAAACATTGTTGAGCCTGTAAGGTTAACAAAGAAAAAATTAACAAATTAATCGAATCGTAGTGTATTCTTGAGTATCGAAAATAATCAAATTGTTGGGTCAGGAAACTGATACTGAATCGAATGGCCATGATGGGTGTGATTTAAACCCCCTACCAATGACTGATTCCTATAGTTATTCTCTAAATCGGCCATTACTTTAAAAATCAAACATGAAACTAAGCATCATTTAATGTCTGCTCATTGTAATAAGAAACAGCTCATGTTTCTCTCACTTAGCTGCTCGTCCACCTCCATCTTTTTATTTCCTTTTTTACAAGTTCAGTTTTTTTTTTCACAAAGAGAAACATGATTTTAAGGAAAATAAAATGTGTGTTTGTTGACATCAGAAGTTTGTCAGGCCGATAACAATATTTGCTAATATCATGCGTAACATATTTCCTAACGCTTTGGACAGAATGCAAAAGAAACCACAGTGCTGACTAGGGCTGAGTATTGGCATGGACGTTGCGATACGATATGTGTCACAATACTATATATTATCACTATATTGCAATATCACCATTTATTCCAACCTCTTTATATGTTCATCAGATGATTTTGATCGTTCAGTTATTTTGGGATCCATGTTGCTTGGGGTTTGAATCCGTCCACGCCTTTAAGTGTTAATGCCTCAACTACAGATAATGCGCTGCGCTGCACAGCGCTATCTGCCTGACTGGTGGTGCAGAGGTAGCCCATTTTCCTGCAGTTTTAGGTGAAACTGTTTTGCTTAAAAAAAAAATCGA